CGGCCAGCACAACGGCCGACAGATTTTTGTCTCAGGCCTTTCCTTTCCTTTCCCCCTCCTTTCTTGCACTTGGGATTTCCAACCACTTCTGCAGAACTCTAGATTCTTCTGCAGAATCCCAGAACTTGGTATGACCTGGCATTTTTTTTTTTCCCCATGGCAAATTTTGGTTCTTTGTGGAGAATTCAGGAGAGAATTCCCAGTTCCCAAGAATCACAGGGCGTTTTCGCTGCAAACATCACTAACACGAGCTGGCCTTCCAGCAGGGCTTTGGCCAGCCCCCAGAGGAGCGAGATTAGTTCTTCATCATTGTGTGACCACTCTGTCTTCTTGTGACACGCTCCAAAATCATCAAACTTGGCGATTGAGGCGTTTTTCTTCTCTCCCCCCCGTGCCTTCTGCTGGAGATAACAGAACTGCTCACATACTAGTTTTTCTCTCTAAGCTGGCTTGGTGTCCCTGTACAAAATGTAGCCACATCTTCCCGCCTCGGGTTCGTTCTTGTTCGGAGGGTTTAGGTTTGTTTTTTTTTAATGTGAATGCAGGGTTGAGGAGCTGAAGGACAACGTAGAAGCAGAGAAGGGCAACGCGAGCAACAGGTCCTCGCCTCGACGCCGTACGCCTGCGATCCCTGCAGCTGCAGAACTCGTGTGGTCTGTGAGCGTGGGCAGAGCGGAGGCACCACAAACACCGAGAGAATTTGTAGGAATAGGGATGAGGATGAGGATAAGGATAAGCAAAGAAAATGTTTCTGAAGAAAATCTGGAGGCTGGAGAAAAAGATAGCAAGTGGAAATCTAAGCTGCTGGATGAATCCAAAGTGACTCAGTTTGAATTTGGAATGATCAGTAGTGTGGAAGTGAATAAATAATGTCATTAATTAGTGAATTCATGAATGCTGTTACTAATGAAAAAGTATTTCAGTGGGAGTCAGGGTGTAGTAAGCAATATCCATGCTATGGCTGATTTAGGAACGTTACTGAAAAAAGCATTAGACGATGCAGGGAATGCGCGAGCGAAGCCGTCCTCGCAGCCAGGCAAGGTGCTGCCGACGCCAGAGCTGCCGGCTGGGATCACTGCCCGCACGAGCTTCCCCGCATCGAGAAACGGCGATTCCCGGGGGCACGCGCCCGCGTGGGCAGCGTGACAGCCTCGGCGAATGCCTTGTGAGACCCGAGCACGCCAGCCTGCCGCCGCGGCGAGCTCACCAAGCCCGTCACGAGCAAGGTGAATGCTGAGCTTGCTTAAGCACGAGCCTTTCTGAACCTGCTCGTGGCTCAGCTGCGTCGCCAGCACCTGGGAAGCTGTGGGAGCTGCTCGGCGCTGGCTGCCTGGTCCCCAGCATGGGATGGATCCACGAAGCCCCTGCAGCAACCACGGCAGCTCGAAACGCTGCGATGCCCAGGGGAGGTGGACCTGGTGGACCACAGAGGGACCAGCGAGCTATCGTATGCTGCTGGCACCTGCGTATCTTTTTGCTGGCATCATTAGCTGGAAGCTGCAACTGTTTGCAGTAGCTGATTCTGCTCCTTCATCTAGATAAGCGTGAAGTTGTGATGCTCAGATAAGGTTTCGTTACTGGTGCGAGTACGAAATGCAGCGTGGATATGGTGCAGTAGCTTGTGCCTCTCTAGCCTGCCGGGCTCAGGAAAATGGAAATATCTGAAAATTTTTGGGGTGCATTAGGAGGAGTGTGGCCAGCAGGTCGAGGGAGGTTCTCCTCCCCCTCCACTCTGCCCTGGTGAGGCCCCATCTGCAGTGCTGTGTCCAGT